CTAACATTTTTTATTCTTATTTTCACATGTTGATTTGTGCATGTGTGTTTATTTGTGCATGTGTGTTTATTTGTGCATGTGTGTTGATTTGTGCATGTGTTTATATGTTTAGTGTGCAGAGGTTTGTCTCTCAGAAATACAATTTTATACTGGATTACTGTATAAACCCGTCTGAAACTGATCCCACAATCACACCTGAGGCAAYTAGACCCTCCAAACAACCTAAAGCATCCTGTGGGACACGTGCAGCAGGAGAACATGTGAACTCCACACACAAACACTGCAGCAAGAGGCTGGGAGGAGGGGACACTTACACTTCTCTAAAAACTATATTAAAATAAAAAAAGAGAATATAAAGAAAAACATTGTGTACACATTATTATTGTATATGTACCAGCTAAGACTCAGACTTATCTGATGAAATACTGCTGGCTTTTATTTACACACATGCAGGTAAACAACATCCTAGGTGTGTGTTTGCATTGAAGGACACACACTATTGTTCACAGAGCTTCAAACAGACGATCCTCCATCTGTCTCTGCACCCAGATATCATCAGTTCATCACGTCCACACATATATATTTAATTTGCATTCATTTAATTCAGGCAAATCTGACATTAAAGAGAAACAACTGACATGGAAATGAGAGAAACTTCACACGGGCCCCCTGGTGGCTCAGACCTGTAACTGCGCCTGGTTCTGCCTGACTGAGRAGCTTCATGAAGACAAATGAAACGTGAAGCTGCAGGTTTTCTGTCCTGGCAGTGACTCACAGACACCACAGGAAGGATGTGGACTCCCTCGCTGCTGATTGTGTTAGATTAGAGTTAGAAAAAGCTCCGTCCTKTAGCTGAAGTATCAGGAGCTGCTCTGTGCTGTGGGTCAGGACGGCACAGATGTAAACACAGCTGAAGTGTTTGTGCTCGCCTCTAATCAATCTGATTTATTAAGCAGCAAAGGTCAAAGAAGCTGCTGCCGGTGATAGCACTGAGCATCATCAACATCAAAGGACCAGAAGTCCATGAAGGATTCCACAGTGATCCAGTTTTATGTTAGAGTGACCGAGCTGGACCAAAATAGAACTCAGAATCTGTCAAACTGCAGAAGTTAACGAGTCGAAGATTCTCACCCAACGATCACATCACAGGAGCTTCACTGACACCCAGCTAGTGGTTGGACAGATATTTGGCTAACAGACAAACAAACACATTAACAGATGCAATAAACTAAATTTTTACACATTTGGTTTGTAGCTACTTTTTTTTTTTTTACTACTTTAGCCTCTACCCAACCTTTAGCTAATATTAGCTTTTAGCTAAACATTTGCTGCTAAAACTTTTTAACTTGGAACTTGTAGCTACCTCATTTAATTTTAGCTTGTGCTTTGCTAATTTAGCTATGCTTAGCTACTTTTAGTTTCTAATCAAAGTGTTTGTATTTTAGATGGCCTACACTTTGGCTTTTTTYTTTAGCTTTTAGCTAATGTTTTTCTATTTTTAGCATCTAGCTACTGTGTATATACTTTTAGCTTCTAGCTAGCCTTTGCTAATATTACCTTTTGTTGCTTTTACCTAGCATTTTGCTACATTTAAMCTTCAGCTACCTTTTTGACACTTAAGCGTCTGTCTGGTGTTTTGCTAATTTTAGTTTTTAGCTGAGGTTTTCCAGCGTTCAAGTTGTGATTTGCTACATTTAGCTAGGCTTTTTATGTTTAGCTTTTAGTTACAATATTTATATTTTCAAATGGTAGCCAGCYTTTTGCTGCTTTTAGCTTTTAGCTAATGTTTTGCTTCTTTTAGCTTTAACAGCCAAGTTTTAGCTTCCTCAGTAAAGTCAATATAAACTGATCRCAGTTTTTCTCATTAAGTTAAATCAAATGAACATGTCTGTCCATGGTGGTCAGCACYTTTCATCAGGCTGAGAACACAGTGAAGCACGGCGGCGGCTGCGTCATGATGTGGGGAGGCTTTTCATCAGCAGGGACTSAGAAACCGKTCACAGTAAAGAAAAGAYKGAGCAAAATACAGAGAAACTAAAACYGAGTCTTACAGAGAACTGAGACCATGAGTGTAAACACACAGCTGAAGAAGTGAAGGAGAATCAGCTAAAGGTTCTGGGATGAATCGAAGCCCAGCTCTGAAAGTTTCATCCAACCTCAACATTATCCCCAGAGGGAGTGAAAGAGGTCTTTACCTGCTGAAGTCACCCCTGATGACTGGAAAAACACCTGAGCTTTAGGTTTTCACTCAGACTGAGTTAAACGAGCCAACAGGACATCGGCTGATAGTAGCTGAGAGTCGAGGCAGAGGATGGTGGAGATTAAAGGTCCGGTCAGGATCAGAGGTGAAGGAGAAACATGTGACAAAAAGAGCAGCTAAACCCTCAGAGCTCTACGAAGGCGCTGAWCCCTGAAGGACTTCAGCTGCTTCCTGTCGTCCTCCTGCTGCATCACATGAGCTCTTCTTGTATCGGTTCTTTTATTTTGAAGAGAACCCTGTTGTTTCATCCAGCTGTGCCCTCAGTGAGCCAGTGGCATCAATGAAACACTCCTGAGAGACACATGAATATTTCAAGGCTTGAACTCAGTGTCGCCTGCGTTTCCTCATAAACAGCCTCCTGAGCTCCTCCTAAAGAACAGCTGAAGACTTTGATCCGCCCGCAGCCGAAGCCCTCTGTCTCCACAACAACCAGCCTTACCTTGGAAGAAGCTCTTGACGCGGAGGTAGGAGACGGCGAGGCGCAGCACCGACAGCTTGTCCAGTTTGGAGATGACGTCCGGGGGGAACGGCAGCAGGCTGGCCAGCCGGTCCAGCTCCGCGTTCAGCCGRTCCCGGTGCCGTTTGGACGGGTTGCTTTTCTCGTTAGCCGAAGACGGCTTCCTGATGGCGAGACATCAGCGTGTCAACACCACAATAACAAACTCTGACCCAACATAAAACATTCACTTTTACAGTTTCAGTTGTTTAGCTTTAATTTTCTAYATTGCTCATTTTAGCTACTGTTTGGTCCTTTTTATTTTTCTCCTTTTAATTATCAGTTTAACTCCAATTAGCTTCCATTTTAAATGTGAGTCTAACTCCGTTTAGATGTTTTACTCATTTTAGCTTCCCTTTTGCTTTTTTTTTAGCTAGCTTTTGCTTCTTTTGGCTAAATTATTGCTGCTTTTGCTTCTATTTTCTTCTTTTTAGCTAACTTCTGCTTTTTTTAGCTGAGTTATTGCACATTTTAACATCTATTTTTGCTCTTTTCATCTACCTGTTACTTTGTTTGGCTAAATTATTGCTGCTTTAGCTTCTATTTTGTTCTTTTTAGCTACCTTTTGCAAGTTTTAGCTAAGTTATTGCTGTTTTTAGCTTCTATTTTAGTCTTTTTAGTTAACTTTTGTTTCTTTTAGCTATATGATTGCTGCTTTTAACTTCTATTTTGTTCTTCTTAGATAACATCTGCTTTTTTTTAGCTGAGTTATTGCACATTGTAGCTTCTTTTTTGCTCTTTTCATATACCTATTGCTTTGTTTGGCTAAGTTATTGCTGCTTTTAGCTTCTATATTGTTCCTTATAACTAACAATTTGCTTTGTTTACCTTTATATTTTGCTTCTTTTAATAAGCATTTTGTTTTTTAACTTCTTTTTACTTAATTATAATTTCTGTTTTCTCCTTTTAGCTTGCATTTAGCTTCTTTACCTAGAAATTTGTTCATTTTAGCTTATAGTTTAATCCATCTAGCTTGCATATCTTTTTCAGCTTATAATTTGCCTCTTTCAGCCTGTGTTCTGCTCCTTTCAGCTTTTGTTCTGATCTGATTGTTTTTACTTTTAACAATCAGTTTCAGCTGCTTCAGCTAATTTCAGCTGTCATTCAGCTCTCAGCTTTTACTTGGAATTTTCTCAAAAAAAAAATCCTGTTTTTCTCATTTTTTTTAAATCATTTTTGAAAATAAACTTGGCAGCGTTGACAGTCGTCTGTAAATGGAAGGATGTTTTCCCACAGCTGGATTCTCTGGATCAATCAGAACAATCGGATCAGGAGGCTTCTGATCGGGGAGGTGACCCAGGACCTGCAGGTCCCACTGGGTCTGTGGAGAACCTTCAGAGGGTCTCTCTCGGTCGGTCAGGCCTGCTGGGCTCTGAACGCTCGGGTCTCCTGTGGTGATCCGCCGGACTCAGAGAGCAGAGGATTAATGGGAGCTGAGGATCTGAGAGGACGGCTGAGCCCAGAAAGATCAGAGACTCCGAGGAGCAAAACTGAGATTTAACCTAAAAAATAAGTCGAACGTCCCAAACCCAAACAGCTGAACTCCTCCTTTAATGGCAATTTATATAAAACTTAAATATATTTGTAAGTTTTCAGTTTGCATACATTATTAAATGTTAGGTTTGACAATCAAACATAAAAARCTCTTTACATGTCTGAGGTTTTTATCTTTACAAAACACAACAAAATCTGGGAATTTAAATGTTTTTTCCAGACTTTAACAATATTTAAACTGAGCTGCAGACTTTTAAAGAATCTGTTTGTCTTCGCTGCTCCGAACGTCTGACTCACACAGAACTTTTTATTCAACTTTATCTGTGATAAAAATAAATAATAACGTGGTCGTGGTTTAGTTTTTAGCAGAATCAGACGCTCATATCAGCTTAAATTCTGATGTAAAAGTACGACAAACTATTATTAAACAAATGTTTTTAAA